TACTGTCGCAGCCAGAGAATAAATACAGAGGTGGACTGCTGTCTACTCCAGAATGTCACATTACAGTGAGACACAGACTGAGCTGAGACAGCCTGGCCTGTGTTCAGCACAGCTGGAACTGCAATGAACAGGAAGTTTCAAAGTCACAAGAGACATTTTTAAGTATCGAAACCTTTCACATGCATTAGACAGAACTTCTTCAGTTGGCTGTGGTCTTAGGTAATAATGGTGAACTTCCTTTGTCCCAGTACTCAAAATGTTAAGTTCAGATCTGTGAGTACAATCAGATTTCTCAATTTTTTCTATTTTTCCTCATTTTGTGCAGTTATGTTTTAAAGATACACAGATATAAAGATTTACATTTAAAAAATATAAGGGTAAACGGAGGATATAAAACATTATATTTTATATAACTACTTTCTTATATTCACCCAGATGGTATTGTCTGTTGTCTAATATCTAAAAGGTTCTGAGTGTGAATATATCCATAAGTTACCAACTATTTATCACCACGAGCAACAGACTATACATTTCTTTTATTGATCCCATGTCTATGTAAAGTCAAGACTGAGATAACCGTGGTGACCATCTGCCCCTTTTTCCATCTGTCATCTGGATCCTCCTTCAACTCTCAGCATGGTCACTACAGAACATCTTGCTATGTTGGCGTTTGTGAAATTTGTGCTCCACAGCTGATGAATCGCATCCTCTGGGAGGGGAAAACACATTGTTCGCCATATTATCAAATCCTTAGCATTTGTTCATACCGGTTTCTATAGACATATACTTTCTGTCATCCAGAGTGCCAAAATTTGACTCACCATTGAAAATCTAATCCACATTGCTTTCTCAATCGGCATTTTTATTCTGGCTTTGAACTGTTGATTTGTGGTTTCTTTTCCATGGTGTTGAGCCAGTTGCTAACAATAAATTATGCAACATGCGTGACAAACCATGCAATGGATTTTCTGATCTTACTCAGAATTCCTAAAAAGTTTGGACTTGGACTTTGTTCAACCAAACCTCAAAACAAATGAACAAAACTCTCAAATGGAGCCTCAGGTTATGTGCGTAAGGCTATCTAAAATTCCACAGAAATCAAACTTGATGAAAACTGTGTCTGTCTTGAAAATGAAGCTGTAATGTCAGCCAAACCTGTCATGACCCACAATGACTCCTTTCTGTGTTTCTGTGTTTCTATAGTAAGTCAGTATTTTTAACAAAAACATCTGATACCAAAGGTCACATAAAACCTTCAGCTACCCTTATTATGTGGGCTTGTTTGGGGCAAAATAAAAGTTTAAGGTTGCAAAGATGTAATGTGTTGGATTCCTTTGGACTTTTCTGTGTTTATCTCTTAACACTACATGCTTACATTGGTGTATTATCACAGTAACAGTGGTTTTGGATCAGAGTTGATCCAAAACCATGGTTGCTACTGTAGCTGTCGTCTAACTCTCATAAGTTTTAGGACAAGGATGTCAAACTCATTTTACATTGTGGACTGTATACAGCCCACTTAGCTCTTAAGTGGGCTGGAACAGTATAACTCCCCTTTCTGTTAGTGTAAAAAAAACCTAACTACACATTTAATCCCTAAGAAAATTAAAATGAAGTGCAATTTTAACAATAAGTCTCAGTTTTTCTATATAATTACAAAATCTTGCCTAATTGTGCCACAAATCTGCCATATTAAAGAAATATGTCAGAAATAAATGTGTAAAATGGCAGTAAATGTTCTAGTTGTTCATTCCCCAGTTAAGTCCTGTAATAATAAAGTAGAAAGTTGTTAACTG